GTGTCAAAGCTTCTTTCGGACACTTCTTTGGCCAGCCCCGTCTTGTATAAGTTAGTACCTCTTGCAGCAATGCATCCTGTTCAGTGGCTTGCTTAACCATCGTGCCATTGATCGGTAAATTACTAACGATTGACATCCGTTTCGGCTGCGATGGAGACAATGACTGCGTCTTCTGACTCACGCTTACCGGTATCCATTAATATGGATAGGGCACCTGCTTGCCCTATAGAATCAGTAGACAAGTATCGCATGCTGAAATCATATCCCAAAAGCAGAGTTGCTCATCGCTGAAGTCGACTGGCCGTATATGCCGGATCCAAAGATTGTCAGAAGCGGTTTGTGATCAGTCACCAAAGTGAACCGTCGACCACAGACTATCTTATGGAACTTCTGCACAGCAAAGATGATAGCCAACGCTTCTTTCTCAATCTGACTATAATGCTTCTCGAATGCCGTCAGCGCTCGTGTAGCATGTGCTATAGCCTTTTCGGATCCACCTGGAAAACGATGTGAAATTACAGCACCAATTCCATAGCTTGAAGCATTCGTGGCCACGATAATTTCCAGTTTCGGATTATAATGCGTAAGCAATAAGTCCTACTTCAGCAGAGATTTCAATAGCTCAAACGACTGTTGACACTGTGCCAAACATTTCCATCCGATGTCTTTCATCAGCAGATGGTTTAGAGGATGACGCAAGCGATGCATGCATGGTAGAAATTCACTATACTGGCTCACCATCCCAAGGAATGACCGTAAGGTTTTGACATCCGATGGCGCCGGTAACCGGTCTATCACCTCGATATTTTCGGAATCAGGTCATCGGCCGTTCTCGTTAATCACGAAACCCAGGAATTTAATTGACTTCACGAAAAATCTGCACTTGTCCGCTCGTAATCGGAAACCGTAATCCTTGATTCTCTGCAGCACGTCATTCAATCGTTGAAATAATTCATCTTGGCTCGAGCCCATTATGATGATGTCATCCAGATAGGCTGCTGCTCCAGTTACACCCGTCAGCATGGCATCCATGACTTGCTGAAAGGTTGCCGGTGCCGTTTTGACTTCAAATGGCAAACGATTGTACTGGTAGAGACCGCGATGCGTGTTGATTATTAGAAGATTTCTGCTTTCGGGTTCAACTTCTAACTGCAAATAGGCGTCTGCAAGATCAAGAGTAGCGAAATACTTGCCTCCATTGAGCTTTGCGAACACGTCCTCGGAGAGTGGAATCGGATACTGACGGGGTTCTAGTGTAGCATTCAGGCTCGTTGAAAAATCTGCACACAAACGAATAGAACCGTTCAGTTTCCTGATCACAACAATAGGCGCAGCCCACGGTGAGAAAGTGACTCGCTCGATCACTCCAGCCTGCTGCAATCGATCAAGCTCCTGTCCAACAAGTGCTTGGGAAGCATAAGGGACAGGACGCCTGGGTCAAAACACTGGTCTGGCATCCGGAAGCAGTGTTTTGCCTGCATTTTCTTAGTGTTCAAGTTCCGACTGGAAGACACACGCATACTTCGTTTGAAGCTGTTCAGAGATGCTAAGACCCGGAGGAGTCGGTATGGCTGTATGGTGCACCATGACACACCTTTCAGCACAGACACGATTCGGTGGTACATTAAACAAGTTCAGCTTCTCAATCCAATCGATTCCAAGAAGATTAACGTCGGTGCATGAGACTAGGTAGATCGTGCCACGGAGTTGCAGTTCCTTCAAGCCGACCTCACATCCAATCTCAGCGGTTCCCCGGATGCATTCTGAGCCGTCAGAGTTGTGCGCTCGAATGACGGTCTCCCAAGCTTCCTTCATGTGGATCGCGAAATGATTGTGATGTCGGACGCCGTAGCTAGTTGCAAGGTGACTAAAATATCATTTACTGTTAAATACTTCCTCTTGCCTGCGAATTCCGTGCGAAACGCAGCGAGAATTACTTTTGTGGTCGGTCCATGAAATGTAGCCCTTTTGAAGTTGATGTTTGTGCACAATCTCGAGGGAAATGAATGCCTGAAGTTGTGCGCAACTCGACAGTGGGTTTCTTTATGACCAAACCGCTTGCACCTGTGACATTGATGCCCTTTGTAGATACAGTCTCTCACCAAATGCCAAGCGCCACAATTCCAGCATGCGGTCGGGGGCTTCTGAGTTGACCGATTCCGGTTTATCACTTTACCACGGATAGCTGTGCGACAAATCTGGGGTTCTGTCCTGTGATCAGCAGTTTCAATCATTTTGTGTCGTGCTTCAAATTAATCAGTCGCTGACATTCGGCTGTAATCTCTTGCAGCGTCAACTGTGGTTCTTGTTCGAGCTTGTGGAGAATTCGTGTTCGAATATCGGCATCAGCGTGGGACTGGAGACTGCACACGAAAACAAGACTCTTGAACTGATCAGGTGTCATCATACTCAGTTTGAATCGTTCACATTCGCGATTCACGATCCCGGTATGTGTGACAAAATCAATGGCATCGCGTTTGACTAAGTTCAAACAATTGTAGCGAACACTGAACAGAGAGGTCTGCTCACCGAATACCTGCGTCAGCGGTTTCATCGTCTCATCGAAGCTGAAGTCTCCTGCATTCTTCGGCAACACGAAATTTGCGTAACGTTCATGCTCGACTGCGCCAAGTTTCCTCAACAACAAACGAACTTGCCAGGCATCGTCTTGGTCTGCAAGTTCCATTCGAGAAATATCATCATACTTTAGGAACCAGGATTTAAATGTCAATCCGTTCAATGCATCGAAAACAAATTCTGTGACTGAAGCCCCAAGGGCGTCCACAGATGGCCGTGCGGTTGTCGTCGGGGATTCGCTTTGGATGTTCAGCTTCTGAGATAGCAACTCGATCAAGTGTCGTTGAGATTTTTCAAACTGCAGTTGAAGAAGCGTCTGCATCTGCTCGAACGAAATCGACATGTTTACCGGAACCTCCGTTGCCAGAAAGTCTGTTGCGTCACCGCTGACGCCTTCACCCCACAACCGCACGAAGAAGTCCAAAGACGAGTCAGAAAGAGACTTGTATACATGAAATCATATTTGCTTATATAGTTCTGAAGGCAAAATGAAGGGAAACTACTAAATTACACTTGAGTCAACCAGCAGAAGGAAAAACGTCAAATGCAACGGCGAATAAGCAACCGTGTATTCAACAGTGAATCGCATATGTCCTTAAAAATAGCATCATGGGACTCCAAGCGTAAAGCGAGCATCCGTTTACAGTGATGGGCACTGGCCAATCAGAATAACGTAATGTAGCGTCTAAACAAATGTCACGAAACAAGCGAGAATAAGAAATGCAGACCCAAAAATTAAAAACTAGTACAATAAGTGTGTGATAACTAAATATTCCTTTAACATAACCAAGTAGAAAAAGTGATACGGAGAAAAACCAATGAAGGGTGTTCTTACAAATGGCATTGCTGAAGAGAACACGGAAATGAGCGTCCATTAACAATGATGTATGTGTACCAATTGGGCTAACACAGTGAAGCGTTTAAACAACAGTCAAGAAGTAGAAAATAGGAAGAATAAAGAATAGCTGGTAAGCCCGTTCACACAAAAATGAATGTCTAATAGCTGTTCTCCTAATAACGACCGCCACCAATTTCATTTAATACTAATTTTGAACTCATCGTGCGACCGAATCATATTGCTTCGCAAATATGCCTTAAGATTCCTGCTGCGTTCATTCGAAGCTTATAGTTGAGATTGTTAGGTTGTACGCAAGGCTATGAACTAAGGTGTTTTTTCGATGTCTCAATGTTCGCAAATGTACCAACATCCATGCTTACGTTGACAGGAAATACACATACTTTTGCATTCCACCCATGGCAATGAAGAAACAATTGCTAAAGTGTGCATACCACACCTCAGCTCAGCTCGGAGAATCAACCAAGGCCTGATATGCAGCACTCGATAGATTCACTACTCAGCAGTGATACCGATAGCGTAGCTCAGTTGGCATGGCTTTCCTCAGTGTGTTCCTCGTCCCAGTAAACCAAACAAAAATCCGCGGCTCTGTTATGAAGACGCTCCCAACTCGTTGAACAATCGAGAAACTCAGTAATCAATCTGAGCCACCGTACGAGATGACTGAAGAGAAACAAACGAGGCAATTTACCGAGTAAGTAGCGCAGCAACGGGCCACATATCTAGTGACACAGCCCAGTGTTAAGTAAAACAAAGGCAACCTGGACCATCGCCCACTAATTCGATGTGGGATTTCGCATTTACATAGGCTATGGACGACGACCTGGAAGGTATATGATCAAATGCTGGATAAAATAACCAAGATTGGTTGTGACTGCGACTGGTAAAAAGTACCGGAGGGCTGCAACAGCCAAGACACTGTGGAAATTCAGAACATTCTCTCGCGAGCACTGCTGTGCAGAGTTCAGGTAGTGAAACCGAAAGAAAACGTCAAAGAAAGTAGTGGCTAGATAGCCGAGATCTTCTGGTATATTGACCGCGTGGCAGTGTCTGGCTAACCGGGTAAGTGAATATCGCTCAACCTAGCCTGAATTACATGCCGGTTGGCACTGTCGTGGCCTTTCGTTTCTCACAGACATCAGTCGCGCTACCAATGCAGCCGGTGACAAGTTATTCGATCAAGAACCATCGGTAGACGGACCTCAGAAATGGAAGAAGCCATTACGATCCGGATATGCGATCAGGTGGAATCTTTTCAAGTGTGATGGAGTACCTAACAAAAACGGTTAGAAGCCAATAGTACGCCGAGTTTCGCGGGGATCACAGATGCGACCTGACTGTGGTGCATCTTCGGATTCCGTTAAGACGACCAGACTGGTTCCATTTGACCCAAGATTAAGCCCTTCCGCGTGTTATGACACATATAAAGACATGCCTAACTGAGGGAACATATCAAAACGCGGATTTTTAATCACATCAACCTAAGGTACCAACATCTAGTACTGAAAAAACAACACCAACTGCGATAACAAACGCATATTCTTTGTTTCTTCTCCTTCTGGTGCAGTGATGGGGCGGGTCGAACCGGAACGTACATATTACTGGATATGATTTTGAACCGGGTCACAAAAGGAATCAAGGAGATGAATATAGCAGCATCCTTGGAACACCTCAGGGATCAGCGCTATGGTATGGTCCGAAAGAAGGTAAGTGAATGACAGCTATTAATGTGAGGTAGGAAGCATTTAACAGGATGTATCCAAACCTGGATTATAGCAAATATACCGTCCGCGTTTCGGAAAAGATGTCCCGTGGATACGTTGTGGGTCTGTTTAGAGAACAGGAGAAAAAGAATATAACTGACTGAGAGGCGTAAGGTCTGAACGGAACAAACTAAAACACAGGAAGCAAAGTCAAACAGAAACAGCTTCACCCGCAAAAATGTGTGTCATCTGGATGCGTTGAAGATGGTCTGTAGAAAAGAGACCTTTAAAATGTTTGCTTAAGGATCCCGGCGTCCAAGTGTTATGATGAAAGTCGGGAGCAGCCTTTGGAGATCATACCGGAGTGAGCAGCGCTGCAGATCGGATGGGGCCTCTAGACCGAATATGCGCAGTGTTAGGATGTCGCGGAGCAAGCAGTTTAGCCAAATTCACCGCGAGTAACTGCCACGAAGCGGCAAGGACGAAGGGGATATGGAGATGTTTATAATTTCTGGATAACTATAGGATCGCTGTCTGACTAAGTGAGAGGGAACGCGTTAAGACCTGCACTTATGGGGGTATCCTCAGGAAAAACAAATAACCTCGAGAAAACACTATTGGGCCGGAAATCCAGGGTCGCAGACGTTGTCAGGGAAAGGGTGCACGATGGATGGTCCAGGAAGCAGGCACAGTACACACAATTTGCAAGAGCATCAGTATATATATATATATATATATATATATATATATATATATATATATATATATATATTAAGAATCTATTTATAACAGTGCCGCAGATTTTTTCTCTGCCATCTTGTTCCATCGATATGTTGCCGCACGATGCCAATTGTACTGCTATTGGACAAGTGATATATATATATATATATATATATATATATATATATATATATATATATATATATATCACTTGTCCAATAGCAGTACAATTGGCATCGTGCGGCAACATATCGATGGAACAAGATGGCAGAGAAAAATCTGCGGCACTGTTATAAATAGATTCTTATAAAATTCTCAACATGGAATACCAGTTTTTGCCATGTCCGAGAAGGTATCCAGCCAAGCGTGTTCGTTGTCCTTGCGCCCCAAGTTCGCGAATTGACAGAGTCCGATCACGGGCAACTATGAGTCTAATTCACGTGTTAGTCACCTTGATATCGCTTCCATCCGACTTCAACTAGTGCAAAGGGAGCACGGTGTGGTAAACGCTGAGCTGGCATGTGAAGCACTTGCCCAGACAACCGAAGCTTGTGCAGTAGGAATATGCAGCCCATGGGTCAGGCGTCTCTTTGATGAACGTCATCAGTACAAATGTGATGTTGCCATCGTGCACCAACAATCCCTCGAAAGCAACTGTGAAGAAAAACAGATAGCATCTGAACATCTCTTGAGTGAACAGACCACGTTTCCAAGCACAGAGCAGGACTTCTTTGGCCCTAACATTATCTAATCGGCGTTTTAGGGAGAGGCTGAGGTCGCAATGACATTAGAGATGGCACAGACCGGCAAAAGCAATCCGAGTGTTACAGATGCGCAGCGACCTAATTCACTAAGTCGTGAAGGCTAGGGCAGATTCGGGGGTGAACGAAGGATAACCCGACGGAGTTAGAGTAGGAGCAACTCCTGGCCAATCCTGCAGGAACATCTTAAACTTCGACGGGGCAAAGAGCATACCGAGCTGGAAGAGACACCAGTCTGAGCAACACATGTTGGGTGGTCTGCGAGGAATTACAAACTAAGCAGCTCGTCTTTGCTAGGTTCACAATTGTCCAAGGCAATCTCCAGGACGTTACCTATATTGAATTCCAGTAGGAAGGGCAATGGTATACAACTCTGGCACATGCAACTGGCAATAGTGAGGAAGAACGAAATTCCGTTATGAACTTGCATTCGATCTGAGATCAAAGAATTGGTAACTTGGAGAATGTTAACACAGTTTCGAGCAACCCTTTCTGGATAGACAACACCCGAGAGTAGCTCAGTCAACGTAGTTAAACGCGGTTCGTATATCTAAGAAAAAACGGCCACTGATCGGCCGAACTCTTGTCGACGCCCAAGTATTTAGTGGTTGGTTAAGATGTGATCAACGCATCCGCAACCTGAGAGAAACCCAATTTACTCTTCGCGTACTCAGATGACCTTTACGGGAAAGAGAGCGGAGAGCGCCTTGGATGCAACAAAGAGAATAATAATTTCGCGACGGCTAGCAAGTCTTAAGTTGACATTTTTGAAAGCAAGTAGGATATTCGCTAGACTCCAAGCAGGTGAGACTATCTCCGTGATCCAAATCTTATGGAAAAGTTAACTGATGGATAGAAAATAGTTCTACATCTTTGGAAAGAGTCGGAAAGAGTTCGTCTACGGCAGAGGCTTTGTAGCGCTCCAGGTGGCTAAGCGCATAGGCAGCCTCAGATAGTGGCGAAACGCTTACACGCCGGGGAGCGCTACGAATTCCTTAACAGGAACTCGTCGGTGTTGCTCGCCAGTTTAACTGCTGTTCTAAGTTTTCAGTCAATGCAAGCAATCGGTGGACAATAAAGTAGCAAGATGTTACTGGGTCTCGTTAATAGCCGTTGAATCATCTACCCCGGTACAATGCAATCGGAGAAGAAAGTTTGTCCAGCTATGGATGAACATTTTCGAAGACTTTCTAAAACGCAGTGATACCCTAATTTGCACAACCTGTTTCATCGTCATTCTAAAAGAGTTAACTGCACTTCGTACCAATGTTCTGTACCTCACGGTATGTCTACAGAGGAAACTACCACATGCTCAAGAAATAGTTAGGGCCCAGCAACACCAATAGGTTCTACTTGACCAGTCCAAGGTAAGCGCGACCTTCGAGACAAACGTATGTTTGCGTACATCGGGACACTGATAACACATAAGTACGACGTATGCAGTGAAGCACATTACAAGAATATCACGCTGTGATGTCAGTAGGCCGAGTGAATTCAACGGCAACCAATTCCTTTAGTCATTATTAGTACGGATCTGTACGGACAAATGACTGGAAGGCTTACAACAACGCGAAATAGTTTTAGTTCGTTTTTGTTGTTGGGGCGTTAATTTGCCCGCCAACTTGAGTAACTCGTTTGCATAGAGGTTTCGTCAACAATCGAGGAAACACCTTCAGTACGCAATACTGATAGGTTTCGCGGGCGAATACCGATCTTCAGGGAAATCTGGGAATGGACATAACAAAATGCATATTCCCATCTAATAATATAGAGGAGGCTAAATGAAAAAATCTACAAATATTTCGATCTTTCCCTATGTTGGAATAGGTTCACGCATCGTCGAGAAATAAAAGAGTTATTTTATTTTCCGATTTTCCACCACTAAAACGTAAAGGGAACATAAAATGAGTCTGTCTCCCGAGTTAGCTGAATTCCACTTCATAGTATGCACTTTTCAAACAAGCACCACAGTGATTGCGTCAGTACAAATACCATAATCTGGGGACAGGCAAGTACCACCTTTACGTTAACTTACAGCTCAAAAGATAGACGTTGACCCATATCTATGAATAGATTGGCTGTGTTCTTCTGTAACGCATTTTAAAACAGCAACTTTACTGTTTCAAAGCATCGTGAGTCAAAGGACCTAAGGTTGAAACTGTTTCCGTTTTTTCTAAAGGAACAATACGAATTTGTGTTCCACGCGGTCGCTCAAGAGGTCGACGCAATGTTGAAAACAAACGAACAGACCGAATGAATACCGACGTAGAGGACAGACTCTCTGCGCGCATGTGCGTGGTCTGACAAATTTGAGGAATCGCACTCGATGTCACGACAAAGAGGAGGCGAAAAACAAGTTTGCGGAAATAAAACCTGCATTCAATCTTCTTGCTTCATAAAGAGTAGTATGGTGGCTAGAATGCCCATCAAATGAGCCACGTTAGTTCGACTGGATTGAAAGCCGATAATCACTTACCACAAAGGATCTCCTAGTTAGCATAGCCACATCCGTGTGTATTCAACCGTCTAGAAAGCCAGAATCCCTGGTATTTCTTTTGAAAGCAAGTGTTGATAATTAGGTGCCACAGGGTGCCCGCTTAAGATGACTGCGATCAAAGCGGAAGGTTGCGCGAACGGGCAGAGATATACAGAATGTGGACCGGTACCTAGCTTGAAAACGATTTTATCACAAAAGTAGACAAACTGTTAATTTTAATATATATGACGCTGGTGTGCAAATTTCGTGTGAGGCGTAGGGGTCCTAGCTTAATTACGACGTTGCCGGGTCCAGTAAACAGTACCAGTCAAAAAGAGTGATTTCAAGAGGCGAATGTGCCACTAAGTTGTTTAATCCATGCTTGATCAAAGATGAACTGAGCGAGTCTCAAACTCGAACTACTTCTTTGTAGTTTCTAGGTTTAAAGTGACTCAACGAATGGAAAATTTCTTTATTGTCCCAAAAAGAGTAGAGGTCCGAAAGCATAAAGGACAAACTATTGACACAAATGATAGAAAATATTGACATGACATCTTAACAGACACCACAAAGGTCCACCAAATAGGCTGGAAGGTCGAAATCGATCGTGCGAGCGATGGCTTTTGCCGTGTCCAGGTTGAGAAGGCAGCGGTATTTCGGATTCGCCAACGGGTCTGTGTCTGAGAGACAGGTTGAATCGACAGTACAGCTGGAGGTGTAGAGTCCGCCAACAGCAGTGAACTGCGACGTGGTAGCTAATAGGCCTAGTGCAGTGAGACAAGCAATTTGGCTGGTGAGAAGAGCTGTACGTGGAGCGGGTTCGGATTCGTTTCGAATCAGGGCATGGAAAATTACCAACATTCGATCCAAGGGGAATAATCGGGGTCCAGTTAAAAGGGCATTTGTCTAAAAATTAAAGAAATAGCCATATCAAAAAGGCTGGACTGTAAGCGATAATCATACTAAGGCACAGTGCGGTTGCAATATCATTACGTATCAGTGGCAATCATCGTTGGTAGAAATGACTAGCGAGGGCAGCTGGACAAGTTCCAAGACAGGTGCATATAACCAATCAGATCGCTGTTTCATCTGTTAACCGAAATGCAACGGAAGGCCTGTAGTGGAAAGTGCATTACCAAAATCGCACCCTGCCGAAATGAGGCAGAACTCAAACACGTTTGCCTGCTTCTGCGATTCATCAAGTCAAACTGATCGAAACTTTCCGAGCAGCTTCCTTAACACCGACAGCAAACAGAACAATAGCGCACTAATAAATAAATGAGTTATTTTCGATGTTGCGAGACACGCCTTCAAAGGGACGATCATGGTAATACAAAGGAGTAATAACAATAATGTTACAGACATGTTACGATATAATCTCTTCGGAGGTCAGAAAGTGGTCGATAGCCCTTTTCCCGTAAAACCCAACCACGGAAGACAACAGGTCTACGGGTTTTATAAGGTCACAGCTCGATTGGCGTAGAACACGAGCGCCACACATTGTATCTGACGGTGGGAGCGCACCTCCGGGTGCTCAGTGGCTTGCTAATGCCCGCCACAAGCCAGGCAGCCCCTGGTCAAATTGTTGCAAACCCGCCAAAACCTCCAAACCACAACCACCACAACGCGTGCGACTGCTCACCAACGCAATCGTATGCCTGCACGCAAAGCACTCAGCATCGGGTGCTGGAACAAGCGACCACTACTGGACCGGAACTCGAGTGAGCGCCCCTAGCGACGTACTGCACTCGTCGCGATGGAATTGGCGCGGCACTTCAACAATGCTGCGCTCAGTGAGACAAGGCTAATTGAGCAAGGTAGGGTGCATGAAGTAGGTGCTAGCTACACGTTCTACTGGGTGGGCATCGCCACCTCAGCACCACGTGAACATGTGGTCGGATTTGCAATATCCGATCGCCTAAATGGCCAGCTGGTAGGTGATCCAACAGGCATCAGCGCACGACTGATGACTGTTCGCCTACGACTCGGAAGAGGTAAGTTTGCTACTTTTATAAGCACGTACGGTCCGACCATGTGTTATCCTGATGACACGAGTGATCAGCTATCCTACTCAGCTATCCTACGTGATACGGTCTGTGCCCAGTAGCGACCGACTACTTCTGCTGAGTGATTTCAAAGCGCGCGTTGGGTGTGATGCATCGGTGTGGAGAGATGTCATCGGTCCGCATGGCATTAGTTCAGCGAATACGAACGGTGACAGGCTGTTCTCATTGTGTGCCACTCAGGGCCTGACAATCACGAACACTCGGTTTGCACTGAGTGCGAGTGATATAGCTACCTGGACGCACCCACGGAGTGGGCACGCTCACCTGCTCGACTATGTCATTGTACGTCAGCGTGACATGCGTGAAGTGTGCATGACACGTGTACTGCGTGGAGCTGAGTGTGGCACTGACCACAAATTGGTGCGGACTAAACTGTAGACACATTTTCGTAGATCTATGTTTCGCACTCCCGCCGTGAATCGGCGTAATTGTAACATTCTCTCCCTCGGTACTATGGAGAAACGTATTGAGCTGAAGAAAGCGACGTCTGTACGCTTGGTGACGTGGAGTGCATAGCCACAGTGTGCGACCTGTGGCACCACATTCGAGACCAGATGACAGCTGCAGCCGAGGAGACCATCGGGCGCGCAAACTGCAAGCGGCCTGATTGAGAACAATGCGACGATTGGCGCATTGGTGTGTGAGAAGAATACAGCATTTTCTGCACACGTCGCAGACCCCAGTGACTTGGGGAAAAAGAGAAAGTTTGGCAGAATTCGACGACGACCAGCCCGAGAGCTCCGTCACATTAAAATTGCATGGTGGACGGAGAAGGGGAAGCAGATGGAATGCTACGTCGAACGCCGCCAACACAAGGAATTCTTTGACTCCTTGAAGGCGGTGTATGGGCCGAACTTGGAGCCGCTAAGGACGCTAATCGATGGTAGTTCAGGCGCTATCTGCACAGAGACTACGGACATAATGCAGATCTGGGGGGAACAATTTGGCTGGCTCTTGAACAACCGTTCAAAGATCGACTGGCCTACTTTGAATGGCCTGAAACAGCGCGATGTGGAGGCGAGTTTGGCAGACGCGGCGACACTGAAGGAGACGCAAAGAACACCTGCTCAGCTGCGAAACGACAAGTGTGCCGGTGCCAACAGGATCCCGCCTGAAGTAGTGAAACATGGCGGACCCACGTTGGTGACTGCGCTGCACCAATTGGTGCAACGCGTGAGGGTTGAGGAGGTGCCTCCTAAGCCGAAGTATGCCTTTGTGCTACCACTGTACAAACGAAAAGGAAGCAAGCAATGTGCCACGAATTATCGTGGCATCAACTTGCTGAGTTGTGTCGTCAAGGTGATTGCCCGAATCCTGCTCAACCGCCTCGTCAGTCAGGTTGTGGAACCGAACTTGGCGGAAGAGCACTGTGGAATCAGTTCGGGTCGCAGCACTATAGATATGGTGTTCGCAGCTCCGTTGCAGGAGAAGTGCAGAGAACGACACCAGCCATTGTACTCGCTTTTTGTTGATTTCACCAAGGCATTTGATACGGTGATCTGCGAGGCATTGTGGCTGGTGTTGGGTAAGTTTGGTTGCCGGCGTAAGTTTGTAAGTTTAATTGAATGTCTGCACAGTGGTATGCGGGCGAGGGTGCAGCTGAGTGGAGAGACCTCGGATGACTTTGCAGTTGTCTCTGGTGTGAAGCAAGGCTGTGCCTCAGCTCCAGCCCTGTTTAATATTTATCTTCATGTCATGATGTACTGCGCGTTTGATGCGGCTTGTGCTGAATATCTGTCGTTTCGATGCGAGGACTCTAGTCTGTGAGACAACTATCTGTATGTTGCTGTTCGCTGACGGCTGTGCGTTGTTTGCACACAGAGCGGATGAGTTGCAGCACATGACTAGTGCTCTGGATTCGACAGCGGCCAAATTTGGGCTCACCATCAACACAAACAAAACTGTCTATCTCGTTCAGCCTTCACCGGATGTGCTATCATCAATATTGCCGCAAAGCAGAACTGGTGATGTCGTATTGGAAACCACCTCCCGCTTCTGCTAGCTTAGGAGTGTGATGTCGACTGACCAACATCTACACAGTGAGCTTCGTATCCACGTCTTAAAGGCAGCGGCGGCATTCGGGAAGCTTGAGTACCGAGTATAGAACGACCATCAGCTTACCGTTGGCACGAAGCTGATGGTGGACAAATCCATGGTGCTCCGTTCTTCTATACGCCGGCGAAACGTGGACGATATACCGGCGGGATGTGCGATATCTCGAGCGGTTCCACCGACAGTGTCTGCGACGAATTCTTCGCACTGGTTGTTGCGACAGAGTTGCGCCGAAGTGGAATGTATGCAGTGGACTGCATACATTATGTCAGACACCTTAGGTGGTTCGGCCATGTGTGGCGAATGGATTCGACGCGAATATCGAAGTACTGAGTTTGGGGAAGCGGCATGTGGGAAAACCGAAGTTACGTTACCAGAACATGATCAAAGTGGGCCTTTCACGTTCTAATCTTGATTGCAGGTCATGGGAATCAAAAGCGGTTGATCGGCGTGCACGGCGCGATCTGATCACGAAGGCCGTTGCCGAGGTGCAAGAGAAAGCTCTTGTGCATGCAGAGAAGAAGCGGCAAGTGCGGAAGCGACAGGCGCCGATGGGTTGTACTCCGTCGATATCGAGCGCATAGTTCTGTAGCACATGCGGTCGCGAGTGCCTGTCAGGCAACCCTAGTGAATCATGAGCGAGGCCACTCGGGGCCACCACCGAAGCAACGACGGGTCCTACAAAGAACGTAGGCAGAGCCGGAGCAGCGTTTGTAGGTACGCTGCATTCGATTTACTAACCGCGTGCTTGCATGCTGAGTCTCATTATCTCAGGTGGTGCGTTTGCCATATTGTCCTAATGCTTTTTCACCTCGTATTCATGTCTACCTGAACTGTTTTCTATAAACTTGCACACGTTGCTTAAGCTAATTGCAGTTAACTTCGATAGCCGTTTCGCTTTTGTGGCATTTTCTTAAAATATATTTTCGGACCTTTAAACTTATCGCGGATTTGTTCGTAACCAATTTAGTGAAGAGTTATGTCACCGTATCTGTATGCATTATTCCATTTATTTTATTTGATATCATCGTTTCAAGTGATTCGCTGTTGCTTGCTATCCCGTGTGGCTGCGCTTGATGTGCATGTTGACAAGGTGCCTACCTGTCTATTACATACTACCTCGTCCAGACTAGTTCCAAGAGGCAGTTGGTCGTTGCTGGAAAGGACGGGGTGCACGGTCCTCGTGACCGTAGTAGGCTTAAAGAGTGGTTTCATGCACTCAGTGTGTCGCGGACTACGGTCCAGCCATCGCCTTATATGCGCATGATTCCCCAAATACAGCGTGCTTGTGGTTGCCTATGAAGGAGTGTGGGCCGGCTCCGTTGATGAAACGTGGCTTCCATTCACATGCCTCCCGGTCTTATTGCTTTGAGTTTACACTGGATATGGGGTGTGTGGATGGAGCTGTGGGTGGTGCAGCGCCAGCCATCCATGGTCCCTATGTAGGCGCAGGCATCCTGTGGCTGGCCACAGTGACGGGCAAATCCGAAACCGGATGCCTCCAACGATATAATTGGGTGCATGTGTAAGTAGTCGTGTGGTGTGAATTTGTTAGTATTACTGTGAATTTGTGAGTTCGTTGGATGAATGCGCCAAGATAGGAAGGAATCAGATGAAATGTTTGAAGTGGTTGATGTTCGCGAAACGTGCAAGATCCTCTGGTATGGCAAAGCAGTGACTTTATTTAGTGGCGAGCCATATCCGCCACGTCACAGTGTTGCTAAGCAGACATTTGTGGTTTTTGATAGGGAGAACGGACTTAGACAGCCGTTGTCCACCAAGGGAAGCGAGTTTTGGAATTTTGGCTTGTCGACGCTGCGCGACGCAACGGATGGATGAGCAGAAAAATGAGGCTAACTGAGTTCTGAATATTGACAAATCTTGCGATGGCTCAGAGGGAGAAAAGGAGTACTAGTTAGCACACATGAATGCGCCATGAGGACAGACAAACCGTCGAACTGCGTGGACCCAACCCAAGGTTGGGTTGTCCTCCGAGTTAGGCAACATGATTGTAGACACCCTGAACACAAGAAGGAACAATGATAAACACGTAGTCTAAGGTGTGACCTTTGACTGGAGGTAAAAGCAAGGAAAAAGAAGTGGTAAATTAATTTTACGGGTGCGTAATGGTGCCGCAATCATGGTGACAGAACGTCTGTAGACAAACTGACTATCTCAGAGAACAATGTAGCACCCTCAAGAAATCCGAGAGACAGGCCAAAAATGTGCGGTTTCTGTGATGGCGATTGCGTCGCCGGCGTTGATATGCAGATACCCCGCTGCTACGCGTTACAAATAATGAATTTTCAAATATCAAAGCATTTTCGCGTTGTACAGACGGCTAGAGAAAAGAGTAATATGTGTTTCAGCAAATAAGAAGGTTAAGTGCAAAACCTTTCAATTCAAGTGAAACATTTACGTACTCTGAAAAGGAGAATGATACGACCGGTTGCTACACCTACACTACATTTAATGATTTTGGATCGATTCGCGCAAGCAATACACTTACACCAATTGATGCAAGTTGGGTCAATTTTCTAGCAGATAGTAAATAAGCGGAAAGAAGAAAATTCAGATGGAGAAAGAGAAACCACATTTTCACGTACCCCACTGCATGTCTGATTTCACCATACTTAAACCGAGGCTTGCTACATCCGTTAAGCGGTGCGTTATCACAACTGGACTAGATGCGACAGAGGTACGACGGAGCAACGAAACGCTACCGCGTGGGCGATCAGGTGCAGGCACAGTGGAAAGACGAAAAGCATTAGCAGTACGCCGGCACAGTACGTACCGGCCCTTCGCTTCCACGTGACCACTCACCACGGGCGCGTGGGCTGGGCATACTGCGAGGTCGCCCACACGCAACTACGCAGAATCGAGCCGGTGACCACCTCCAGAATGCAAGACAAACACGTGTAATCTTTTCGGTCAACGACCGACCGGTACACAGTGTAATTGGGGATGAGATCAGATGAATCGTAAAGCTAAGACCAAATCATCCACGTATAGGTTCAGCACTACGTCCAGAAACTACGTCGAAATTCCCATTCTTGTATCTCTCTTCCTAAGACATGTTAGGCAAATCACTCGATACGGTTGAACAAAACGGAGGCAACATTGTAAGAAAGTAGGTATCACACGGATCTCTGGACAGCCTATGCAATGACAACGCATAGGAAAGGGACAAAAGTGTAGGAACATATTCAAAAAAGATGCCTACGCACCTTCGTCCTAGAATGGGTAGCGTTATATGTGGGATTGTCAGTATAGCGAACCGAAAGAAATAACAAGGGAAAATATCTCGAACGCGAACAGGAGTGCTCAATCACGTGCTTACGCAAACTTTATTGGTGCAAGTTGTGAAGTTCGTTTGGCCAGACGGCCAAGACTTGGCGTTAAGCTAAGATGAAAGCTAATATGCTGCCACCTAGATAAAGGTCTCTTGTATCTTAACAGGTCGAAAAGAATCTGGCAACTGCCTAATTCACGATCCAGTGCAAATCATAAAACACAAGATGGAACGCGTCCGACGGAGAATTTCAAAATAACAAGAGGTCGTTCCATGCTGAATAATAAAGTAGAACTTAATGTTGTACAGATGGTCAAGACCTAGATTCACTCGAGCCGAGTTAGAAAGAGTTAACACCCACGGATGGAAATAGAGGCGCAAATCAATGTAAATTGACGCCGGTCCTAGAATTATTTGATTTGAGTCGAGGTAACACTGCTTCGGTGTTTTATGCAAGGGTCGGTCGCTGGCACAAAGACGAATGAACTTAGTTCTTAATGCAAGCATATAATAGATTCAAATACGAAATACCACAAGCAGTGCTACTATTTTCGGCCTTGAACTAGTATCACTGCAAAGTGTTATTATGTCTGTGATGGTGGATAAGACCTGGGGCGAAGGGAATCGTTGTAGTGCCGATGGGCCGAGAGCAAGTAAAAGGTCCCCGAGATGAGCGCGCACGACGAGTTCAGCCCATCACTGAAAAGCGATTTAGTCCGTTGAACGGCGAGCAGATGACATACGCCTGCGTCCATGTTAACAACACGTACGATGTAGCAGCAGGCCAGCTGAGGGAGCATTGACCAAGTGGGCGGATGACCAAGCAGACGCTACCCATGAGAACCGATGGTGAAGTCTATCCGGGGTGGCAGCAACGAGGCGCAATGTAAATATGAACCCGGTAAGCGTGGATCGGCCCGTCGGGATAGCAAGGACGAACGAATGGAACGATACAGGCCAGTTCACAAGGTGCAGATAGTGAGACGAACCACAGCAGAATAGTGAATTTACATTACGTACGCTATAAATAACGTCGAATCATCTTAACAATGATCTTGTGATCGCCGACCAAACTTTGTTTCTGGTTCGCGGGGAATACTAGACAGTCCCGTTTAGTAAATCTGAGATAATGTAGAGTAGTTGGACGGTATGCAAACCTCACCATCGTCAAATTCACACACCAATAATCAGTATCCCTTCATGAAGATGTGATGGATATATAGATAGAGGATTTGTGCGAGTCCTATGGGGGGAAAATGGCAACTGGATCAGCCCGTAGCACAACCCCCATGTCATTTTAGTAACTAATGGACAGTGATAAAATATGATTTAAGAATCCCGGTGATTTTCAATATTAGAATCATGGGAACAAAGACTGAAGGCAGAGGTCCAATTATACTGTAACACACAGAGACTCATGGGTTCTGGTGGAGCAAAAGGAGCAGATATTTGTTGCAAAATGCTAGAAAGGCAATGTCTAACGAATCGAATCGAGTACCTTTTGTTTAGCAATGTCCCGATGTTTACTCAGGATTTCGCTGAACATTAGCTAGTCAAAAGAATGTGCACCAACTATCTGATACCACTGCCAGTGACAGAGAACAAGTAAGTCAGCGGAATCCAATAAAAAGTCTGTGCTGTGTCTAGCATGTCTTCTATGCTTATTAAAATGGCACTTAAGGTATCACCTTGATCAGTCAATCAAAGTGATTTGAAAAGCACAAAGCCGATCCGGGTGACCGCAAGAGCGCACAACCAATCGGATTGTCGTGAGAACGAGATTACCACGAGAATCCTGCTAAAGGTACATGACTGTCGGGCATGCAGAGCTTGACACTAATTCGTGTACAAATGGGTCATTCGGAAGAGCATGTTGGCAGAGGGGGCAAACATATGTGGATACTATTATCCCACAGTTATGGAAAATGATAAAATTATGACAACTAAGTGTACAGAAAAAATTATTCGGGACCTCATTATGAGTAAATGCAATATAGTGAAACTGTCCGATGCATCCACATAAAAGCAAGGATCAGTAGTTTCCAGTCTCCATAAGACTAGTATCAAAGCACCCCTCATCAGCCAATGGACTGCATTCCCCAGGTTATAACTAAAGTCAAGAAGACTGCGACCTTCGGAATATGCTACTGAAGATGCCAGTCGAAAAACGGGGAGTTGAAACATGTCCACCATGATATCATAAGCTTAGTATACATAAAATAATCGAAAGCAGATAGGCCCAAAGGTGAGGAGTAAGATCGACAGTAAGTCGGAAATCCAGAGTCCCAAAATGTTATCGGAATGAGTCTATGCCGTAGCATGAATGAACACAGCCAACTCACACGCTCCGCGGTTTTTTCCTTTCGCTTCATTCGCGTGGTCTGCTTTCCAATATTCTGAAATAAAGCTAAACGCTTTAAACCAATGGCTACGAACCTTAGCAAAGAACTTTCTATCAGATTCACGCGGATTGAAAGAGGCCAGAAAAGCAGCTATAAGCAAAAACCTTGCGTAGTAAGGTAATTCCAAATTTGGAGCAACACGAGCAGGTTCCAACTCGGAACCACTAAATTTAACAGAAAGGCCCCAATGTGGGACAGCCAGAGATCGCAGGTATAGAGTGGATAGCGAACGCTTCAGGGTTGGTTGTGCTAGTTTCCACTGCCCCCATTCATCGTCCGGACTAACCATACCCTTAACAATTGGTTCCTCGAACGCCGGCCAGTTCACCTAAGCGTTTGCATGAGGCTGGAATATCAAACGAGATGTTACCTTTGAGAGGTGAATCAGCTCAAAAATACTGCGGCAAACAGGAAAGCAGATTGTGAGGAGTAAGTCCAGAAATCGGTGATATCGTTCTTCTGATGCCGCTTCTGGTTTGATGGAGAGCAATATACGCATCATCTCGTCTCGTGAATAATTGTGCAGTGTAAGTAGCACGGGTTCGAGGTGAAAAGTCCCAGAAGAAAACTTCTCCCAAAGGGAATGCGTAACAAGGATAGTTAATAGCCGAACGTTACAAGAAATTGAATCCTCACGACGTAGTTGCTCCTCAACCAAGGGGCCCAGGCGAACCAAAAGAGGAAGTAAAAACGGATCGGCATCTCGGAGTTTTTCGGCCTGATCAAACACAAGCACCAGACTAGCTACTTCCAATGGGTGAATGATCAAAAGTGAAACAAACTTACTCGAAAAATTTGGCCGTTCGCTGGTTATCACCCTCATTAACTCACACAAAGCGTCCAAAAACTTGACAGGATTATCACAGCAGCGGGAGAGCACAGTGGAGGTAGATCCGTAACGAGATTGTATAGAGCGCAACACAAGTTCAAATAAAAATCTCGAAGACGGTGATGGTGCAGTAGAGGTCAGAGAGGAGAAACCTTCAAGGCAGCTTACGAGGACCCACCTCTGGCCATTAATCAGCTCCAAGTCAGCCAAGGTAGATGACAGGAGTAATGACTTTCCACACCCAGGAGGCCCATTTACTACAATGCAAGGGGCTACTGGGTTGTTCTGCAAAGTAACAGACCAAGTGAGAGCAAAATAAACCTGCCCCAGCAAACGAACTAGCGCTGCCTGTTCTTCCTCCCTACCGATAATAGTTTTCAGAATAAAATGCATGGATATGTAAGCTGCTAAAAGTAAAGACGGAAAGTAAGTGAGTAAAAAGAAACGAAAGCGGCCGGATGAAAAAACTGAAACCTGTAAATACACTGTTCGATTCTCTTAGCAAAATAATGGGATGAGGAACGAAAGCCTCCGACGAAGATACACAAAGGTATGCAGGCTCAATTTACTCAAACCGCATCAGTAGCACTCAATACTCAAAACTGCATGATGCGCTATGGAAACGATTCCACACGGAAAATAATAAACAGAAGTTTTGTTTGTAGGCTAGTATGAAGTCGAGTGCGAACGTGATATCTGCATTTCACAACCTTTGACAAAACGCGTCCAGAAATGGCTTAGGTCTTGAAAATCAGATACAGATGTGACCATGCTCTTGCATGGACGAGCACGTTTGTTCATGCGTAAACTTAGCATGGCACGAGATACGAAGGTCTGCGGTTTGAATAATGGTTAAGAAGAAAAATCTATAACTAGCGTCGTGGATGATCTGTAAATGTTCTGGAGGTTCACGCCGATGACGCGAGAAACTGGTGACTAGTTACGAAATGAATGTTCCACGGATGGCCGTAGTACTTTGCTTGGACATTTTGCCATGTCGCCAATTGTTATTGTGCTCAATTTATTAAACTTTCAACTTCAGTTTATCACAAATTCGTTTGTAAACCGCATGAAATAACGTACCCGTACCTATATGAACAGACCACTGAGATGGACTGCGCTCACGTTGTCGAGAAATACGCCATGCGAATAATACGAGCGCATACGGGTAATAGATTAAAAAAACGTTCAAGTTGAGCGTCAAATCAGCAAGAAGAATCCACGTAAGAGAAAGGGACTCCTTCTAAGCAGAAACAAAAGAAGCAAACAAATGATTATAGTCGCTGTGGGACGGATGTCAGCAACAACAGACTGTAGATGGGGCTTAGATTTCGGAAAATCAATTAAGAATTAGATCTACACAAAAAACAAATGCAGTGATGCTGTTCGCTACGTGCCCCAACTTCCGTGAAACAATAGAGTGAAATCATCTTGAGAGTAGCATTGTGACTAATGCACACGTCACTATGTAATTTCCAAACAGAACACAATTGCATGATGCTGACAAAGAGCATGAGCAGCGGTGAATAAATAAATAGATTCGTATATTTACCGACAAGCAGTATACGGCCCCATAAGCGGGAGCGATCATTTATACAGTGAATAGGTTTCATGGTTTATGCGACGTAAATTCATTATAAAACAAACTTAGATAATAGAATTTTAGATCCTGAATTTTCCATAGACCCGATCACCTAAGATGTAAAATGTACCATTATTTGTATCGCTTTCTGGTTTAAGAGGCTTAAGAGTAGATAACAATAGGAAAGGGATAATAGATTGTAAGGACATAGGATTTGGTTTTGTGAGCAATGATATGGAGTGGGCAAGCTGATTGTATCAACTAGCTGCTCTATGTTATTTATACCAGTTTCCGTCAATACTTCTAGACATTTTTGTGAGCCAAAGATCTTTAACACATTTGATGTAGTGAGGAAAGTCTGTAGGGAATTTCGAAATGTGACATGGTTTGTACTCATGCGTATCTGTAGGGGTAGTTTGCTCCATAGATCAGTGTATCTCACTAAGAAGAAATTCGATCGAGCTTTATAACTTGCAAGCTTTGATGGTAGCAAATAGCCGCCATTTCGTGTGGAGCAAACTGCAGTTTTCTGCAGCTCAAGTGCAATGCAATTTGCGTAAACTCGTTGGTTAACAACGTAGAAGAGAAGAAGGTTGTTCTTTAAGCTCCTCAGTCAAATAGGACCCAGTTGGAGTTGTCGACAGCACTCACAATAATTCAGGTTTGAGCAGCGCCCCATGATCAGCTTGGTAAATGACCGTTGGACATTTTCCAGAGCTGTTCTGCCTTTCACAATTGCCTGTGAACGATAGTACAGTATTCCAGAGTCGGTCGTACTATTATCTTGAATGACTCAAGTCGTGTTTTAGGCAGCTAGAAAGTTCTGGTAATGAATCCGCATAGCTGCTTCGCTTTTGCAACCTGATAAAGCACATATTCGAAGAAATTGAAAGCGTTTGAGTACCTAATTCCTAAGTCCCGAACTGAATCAGACGTCGGGATCACGTTTCAGGTGACTGTGATAGAGCCATCCGGAATGCGGTATCTGTACCCAAGCACTTGGGATTTTACTTCGGAGCACTACATTAACCAACGTTCACTAGCGTTATTTAGTGCGGATAGGTCTTCACAGATGCTTCCCAGACACAGACGTAGTTGGTTTGGATGAAATGAGTGGACCAGTTTGACGTCATCTGCACCCAGTAGATGTGGTTCTACACAAATGGCCGGAAGCTGAAGATGTCGTCAATATGACCATAAAGAAATAGTCGCTGCGCTGGTAATTCAGTCACCCCATGTTACCTGGGAGTGATAGAATCGTCATAAAGTGAGACTATAGTGCTGATTAGCAGAAAGAGTTGAGAAAAAGTGGAAAAATCAGCAGAATTTAGTTATGCCCATCAGCACAGAAGCCACTCCAAGAACAATCGATGTGACCGATAGGTGGCGCAGTTTTTTAAAGCAGATGTATCATCGATGCACACCCCCTCGATCATTTTCATTCGTTGCTATTTCAAATGGATATCCGTCAATAGAGGCGAAGCCGATAGGCGTACGCACTGGTAGGTTATTTTGCCACAACGTGCAATCTCCCCAAGAATTGTATTGCATTTACTCGCTCCTGTAGTCCGATTGAACTGAAAAAGGGTCCGATTTTAAGTGACGTAGTTTTTCGCGTGTTCATGACCAATCGATTCGTATTGTAGAAAGCTGTACAATAGCTCCGGGTCAATGGTTAGGTCGGTGAACTAGCTTACACTATCTTCCATTCCGGAGGCACTGACGAAGTGGCTAATGTATACAGCAGCTTGCTGTAAGTCCCACTCTATTATTACTGGATGTCAGTGGCTAATCGTTGCACATGGAGCATATAGGCAGCTAAGTGTATTGTTGTAGGATGGGATCCAGTCGGAATTCGCGTTAGAGTTTTGAAAAAGCAGTGTTACAAGTATTCGCAATCGGTGCCGCAGTCATTCTTAACACTGCAGCCACAGTAAAAGTAAGGACGATAAAGCATCAAAAAATCGGTTTTGCGATTGAGCAGTATTTTGGGGTGGCAAAGAGGGCTGCAAGCAGACACCTTTGCCAAAATGCCACCAAGAACAATGAGCGATGGCTAGGAGGCACCCAGTTTATCTCGGGGCGTCCAATGTGCTGCGATTCGCCATTTCAATTCGGACCACCACGTACTGTCAAAATGTTGCAAGGCTGGCCCTCTGTGAGTTCTATCTTGTGCAGCCTGTTGGCCAACCTGCAAGAAAGTGCGCACGTTGGGGCATACCGGTATTAGGGAAGATCGGGGACTCTAAAGAGAGACAGATGAGCTGGGCTTGTGCGCCAACAACGGCTGTGTCCACAAGGGCTTGTCGGCTGGACCGAAGCGACGTACTCCAAATGCGGAGCAAGGTGGGGGGGGGACTGAGAAGCGGTGGGGGGAGGTTGAAAACGGAAATAAAAGTGCAGCTGGAGCGGGACGATAAGGGTCAAAAGGCGCAAGAGGGGGAATAAAAATACGGGAAGGTTTGAGCCGTCAAATCCTTACTCCTATACGCCTTGCTCTATGCAGCAGATACGGCGCCGCTGATTATCCTCTGCGACGGCCAGAGCATCAAGGTGTGAGAGGTTATTGTATTGCGTGGGTAGAGTACTGTCAGACTGCCCAGGCCTAGAAAGAAGAACGATTAGGGTTACCAACCAAAGTCTTTGACTTAAAAACCTGACCGCAAGGCAGCGAGTTTGACACTGGGCTATAGAGTCCGTTTTACGGAGTAAGGAGCTACCCCCATGTAAACCCAAAACTGGAGGGCCAGAAGAGTGAAGTTGTCTAGCATTTAATCACTGACCAATCTGGTATGAGTGGACCTGTAGGTGCAGAAAGCACCATCCAGCATAGCTAAATGGATTGGTGAGGCACAGAAACCATCGTATCAAGTTAAGGCCCAGTCTCGTTTTTGAAGGCTCTTGTCTGGACGAAATTAGTGTGACGAAGTCCCAAGTTCGTAGGTTGCTGAGGGAGGTCAATCAAAATAAGGCTTCGGGTCCAGATTCTGTTCATCACAAACTGCTACACGAATTGGCAGCGGAACTCAGTGGACCCCAGACTTGTCTTGAAGTCACTCAGTAGCTGCGTTTTGTCACCTAAATGGAATGAAGTTGTGAGCTGCCTTGTTTTTAATTTTGGGACAAAGACCTACCAGGTGATTATATGCCTATCAGCTTAGCTAGCGTGGTAAGAGGTCCAATGGAGAACCACTTGAATAAATTTAAGTCGCTCAGTGTCGCACAATATGAATTTCGCGAAGGATTTTCTTGCTTAACGAAATTATCGGCTCGTGAAAGCTAGGCTGAAGCCGTTGACAACGGATACGCTGTGAATGTGATGTTGGTTAAGTTCGCTAAATCATTTGAAATCGTCTTCCATCCGCAGTTTTCCCTGAAGTAATGATCCAATGGTCGCGCCTTTCAGCGGGTAGTAGTTTTTCTAGATGAATGGGAACAGTGTATAAGCATTGGATGCCATTTTGCGTTCCGACAACTGTTCTTAGCGGCATCTTAAGTCCCGACCATTGTCAACGTCAGCGAACCTAATAGCCATAATGGAAACATAGCTGTTCGGCAACATCACCGACGATGAGATTCAACTTCCTCACATCTCAGTCCTCCGCTCCGACCGCGCAACCCCAGATGGCGGTGCTGCATTGTACTTTGACACATTCCTCAATTACACCATCGTAGAAGACACTGTTTAGCAGTCTCCTGACACCATATGGTGCGAGGACGTACTAACCGCCAAACACTCCTGCTGTCATGCTAATATTTATCGCCCCCTAACAACTCATCCGAGGACCCGCAACTCTTGCACGACGTCCAACTTACTATCCCACAA